CAGGCGCCCAGATCCGGGGAAGCTAAGTGACGGCAGTGTCCCGGGGGCTGCCGCAAAGAAGGGGGTCTTCTCCAAGGCCCCTGAGCACAGGAGGAGGAGGAGCGACGGATGGAAACTCATCAAGGAGAAGAACCGCCTAGAACTACGGAGGGACTTCTTGACCGTGAGGACAACCAACCAGTGGAACGGCTTCCCTCCAGGAGTCGTGGGTGCCCCAGCCCTGGCGCTTTTCCAGAAGAGCCTGGACGGCCATTTGGCCTGAAGTGGGATGGGCTTAGCCAGTTGAGCAGGGGTTGGGCTAGAAGACCTCCAAGGTCCCTTCCAACTCGGTCATTCTGTTAAGTAGCTGCTCTCACCCAGCCTGGCTTCCTTGAGGGGGCAGAGATTCAGCCAGACGCCTTCGGATTGTGGGGAAACGCCCCCTTCTGCCACTCACTTCCGGCTGCACGGGAGAGCAATGGGAGCCAGGGGGACCAAGTGGCGCCTGTAGGATCTCGTGGCATCCACACACACGTGCACCAGTCAGGAAGGGGGACCAAGGCAGCCAATCCTCTTCCAAGGCCACTGGCGGATTCCGGCTGTCGCTTCCGATATTGTCTGGTCTGTCCTGGGCGGATCCTGGCCTCACTGCCCTGTCGCCCCACATCAACGCCCGGCCTTGACGAGAGCTTGAAGTGCAAGAGGAGGCCCAGATGAACACGAGGCATATGGGAAGGGCTCCCAGGGGGCTCCGCAACCTTCCCCGGCCCAGAGCGGGTCAAGCTCTCCACCGTCCTGAAGGCAGAAGTGTCTCCGTGCAGACAGACGGACGGATGGACAGATGCACGGGCAAGCCTCGAGCCCTGGCTGCGTTTCCAGCCACCTGAAGGGAGGCACGCTTCAAGGCTCTTCCAGGAGGGCACGAGGGCCACTTCATGGAACAGGAGGCCGTGTCCAACAATCACACAAGGCAAAATACTCCTTTGGCCCCCTTGAATTTCCTGCCAGTCGGCTTCATGGAGTCCTTGAGGGGCGAAAGCGAAGGAGAAAGGATTGGACGCCCCTTTTTTACGCACCATGAATAATTTCCTAGGCTTCTGCACATCCAGCCCCTCCATTTTCCCCTGGCCTTCTCTCCTGGAGGGAGCTAAGGGGGGGGGCTCCTGCACCCCTACAGCCCTCTGGAGCCCCCCGAAGGGCCCAATTCTGGCCTTGGAGCCAGAAAGCAAGCCAAGCACCGTCTTCTGCCTGGGGAATGTGCAGAGGTGGCCTTCTCTGTGCCAATTTGCCTTTTGTTCTTCATAGCCTCGGCCCTGGGTGCAAAGGGGCATGCTCTGCCCAAAGTGACCCTTCGGGGGGCTTGGGTGCACCTGGCTTGGACCTGCCCAGAACCTGGCCCCCTGCATTGGTGGTCTGCAAGGTATCCAATTGCTGGGGCTGGAGAGGGGGGCCCCTTCTGCCTGGCAGCCCCTCGTCAGCCGCCTTCTGCCTGACCCTAATGCGGGGTGGCAGGGGGGCAGCCAGCAGACGCTCCCTGCCACTGGCGCCCTGGCTGACGTGGCTCAGGCTGGGCTGGCGACTTGAGAGGCAGAGGGGCAGATCCTCCTTGACAGGGGCTGATGGGAGCAGAGCGTGGTTGCCTGCCGGGGCCTCTGGCTCAGCTGCTGGGGAGGCCCATTCAGCCGGCCGGCTGGCTCCTTCCCTCCGGCCGGTCCTGAAAGCCAGAAGCCTGTCACTTCCATCAGTGTTAAGGGTGGCCAAGGACTTGCCAGTCCCCCTGCTGGCGGCCTGGACGGAAGGACAGGAGAGGGGGGAGAGGACACACACACACACACACACCCCACTACAATCTTGCCCTTTGCTTCATAGAGCACCAGCATCCTTTGGAGGGAAGGAGTGGGGGGGGGG